GGCTTAAAGTCCCTCCCGGAGGACTTGTTTCCTGAATTTTTCTGCCCTTAAAAATTCGACGACCTCCGCCGGGTATTTGAACCCGCGTACTACGAGTCATGAGGTGGGAACGTTACCTCTAGACTACGGAGGCCGCTTACCTGAGCAAGTTAGCTGAATTCTATAATTTTCACTATTGATTCATATGGATTAACTGTAAAAGCTAATAGCAAAATAAAGATGCATTTCTGTGGCTTTGAAATACCATTTAAATACCCTTGACCCTGATGCTCTCAGATCTTTTGCTTTGTATCTGTATCTTTATTTTAATTCTATAGATCCTTACTGGCTACCACATATGCATACAGTAGTTCTAAACACAGAACTAGTCACCTTACCACTACATTAAAAAGGAAACCATAATTATACATAATTCAGTAATTTAACAAGCATATGGGACTTATCAACTTGACAGTAATACCTCATTAAGATCATAGCGTAGATATATGAACAAATATCAGATTATAATCCATTAAGTTATACAATATCAACGGCATAAAAAAGGTTTAATTTGTCTTGTTTTTGAAATATTCACCTAATGTAGAAATTGAATGGAAATACAAAAAAAATTCAAGGACAAATTAAATTGTTTTGTATTAAGTCATAAATCCTTTATTGGAACATGTAAACTGTTAAACACCTTAATCCTGGTATAATGTGTTCCCTTCTGATAAACTGCCAAATGAGACAGTGGGTGATACAAATCAGATTTGGTCCTAGTATTAATATTCTATATCTCAGAATTTGCTTTAAATTGATGTTTATTATTATTTATTATTATTTTATGACAACGTGTGCGCCTCCAATTACGACATAATTTGTCTGTCCGAGACATGGCTCAACGACCTGTGCTACGATCACAATCTGTTTCCTAACCAATACACCGTTTACCGGTCTGACCGGCCGTATATAAACAAGGCTCGCGGTGGTGGCGTTTTAACAGCCATTACGGCTAGCCTGGGCTCTTGCAGTCGCAGGTATGATTTAGAACTCTGTTCTGAATGCGTGTGGGTCGAGGTTCCCACTGCTGATGGCATAAACATGCTTATTGGTAACCATTACTTCTCCCCTGACACCAAACCGGAAGTCATTACTGCCTACTTTCGACAACTTGAAAACAATCTAGACACGAACAATACTCGCGTCATACTACTCGGTGACTTCAATGCTCCTGGATTCAACTGGGAGAATGGAACACCTCTTTCTAGTTGTCATTATTATTCTAAACTCAAAGGGGACTCTATATACACCTCTACATGCTTTCTTGGCCTAAGGCAGTGCGTTGAGGCTGTTGACACTGTTAA